GAATATTTTCGTCCTGTTATTCATACACTGTGCCTTACTACCTAATTTCACGATTACTGTTAAAACTACCAATAAGCAACACCGCGGAAAAACGTCTGCGCATGCGTCAACATTACTGAAATCTGTATTGCGAACGTGATGTCAAGTGTTCTGAATGTTGTCAAAAACTCAAAATGGAAGCGACTTCGATGTTTTGCCTTTTCTATGAAAATGCAAGCGGAATAATGAATGTGACAACCTAAAAACTAGAAATAATTATAGTCTACATGTGCAAGAAGTAGTATTATGTAAGAAAATAAACCAAAGGTGACTGTCGATAAATTTATTGTATAAAAGTTCTTTAACTGAATCATACAAAGATATTTTTCGTAGGTTCATATGATCCACATTTTTGTCAATAACGTCTTTTGCGTAGCATGTATAATTTTTGCGTTGACTATATTTAATGGTAATGATTTACTCTACAATTTAATCGTGTGCAAATGCTTAACTATTCTAAAGTTCGGTATTCGACAATTTTTCAAGAAATGTTCACACGCCTCCCGGTCTTAAACGGTAAATTTTAATTTAAATTCTATTTCATTTTAGATTTTAAATGTTAAAATATTTTTATTCATGTCTAAACTCCCGTCTAGTGTATTTTTGTTTGTTTGTTTGTTTGTTTGTTTGTTTGTTTGTTTGTTTGTTTGTTTGTTTGTTTGTTTGTTTGTTTGTTTGTTTGTTTGTTTGTTTGTTTGTTTGTTTGTTTGTTTGTTTGTTTGTTTGTTTGTTTCAATTACATTAAATCATTAAATAGCCATGTTTTTGTTTACAATTTGGCATTTAAATTCCGCGCCATCTTTTTTGTGCCGCACGCATGCGCAGACGTTTTTCCGTGGTGTTCCAATAAGCTTTAAAGGCGCATGCGCTATCCGAATATAGTCGCGCATGAGCTATCTGAAGTCTGAAGATACCGTTTTAAACCAGATTAAGATCCGCTTTATTGTATAGGGCCTATATGCGGACAAAAAGCGGGAACGTTATTCTTAAACCTGGTCTGAATAGTTTGATTTTCTTGGAAATTCGCTATTTCTAATATTTCTAACTCTCCTTTGAGTTTTGGAAGGTAAATTTTAAAAAGTGCTGACGTCTTATATTATTTGTAAATGAAAAATAATATAAAATGTATTTTTACCAGGTGTACTGTATAGGAAAATTTTGACGGGGCCCACATCCAATAATAGGGAGCTCAAACAAGTGACGTTTTTGTCAACAAGGACGTCAGATTGCCGAGGGGGGACTGGATTAAAAACTGTGTTTGTGTCAGTTTGTGGTAATCTTCAACACATATATGGCAAGACATAAGATTTTTAAAGTTTGTTTCTTCCTTACACCAGCGCTATGATGCAAAATGCCGCCAAAATTAGTTATACCAATTTTCGAGTGACGTCCGTGTTGTTTAACAATAGTGAGTTTAAGCAAGTGACGTTTTTGACAACACGGACGTCGACCGGAGGTAAAGTTGACGTTTTTCACCAATCACAGTCCTTGACCCAGTCTTCTGACGTTGCTCATGCCGTCAGTGTTGTCAAAAACTTCACTTGCTTAAGCTCACTAATGTGCAGTTATCTGCATTTGTGCCAATCTTATGCTTTGGAATGGTTAATGTAAATTGCTCTGATATATCTGGTTCTTTAGATATCTTTTTCATAATGTCACGTAAAATCCTAAATATGCCTCTCTCCGACCACCAGGGCTGTAAATACACGTTACAATTGTAACGCGTTACTGTGTACTCGTTACATTTGAAGTAATTTTAACCTGTAATTAATTACGTTTAATTAGAAATGTAACGAAAAACGTAATTAATTACAAAAGCTAGGAACATGTTCCTTATCCAAGGAGCAAATTGAAAATTCCTTTTCTTATTTTGTTAAAAATAAGAAATAAAAAAATACGTTACGACAAAAATTCAGAAAAATGGCTGAAATAATTTTCAACGAGATCACATGACATGATATCCTACATGAAGTACTATTTATTGCGAAAGTGGAAACCACAATTTGTTCCGAGGCTCAGAGCACCAAATATTGGCAAATAAAGTTTTAAGTTTACATGCTTCGATTTGCATGTCAAATGTTTTAATATATTGAAATATCATCTTGATAAATTCTTGCAAATTTCATAGTTTATACCGTTTTTATTTACAACCACTGTTTAAGATATTGTCTTATAATATATATAGTAACAATTTGCTGGTACAGGAATTTGTAATTAATTCCTTTTTTCCGGAGTAATTTTTTCATTATTTGTACTTAATTACATTGTAGAACAAGTAATTGTAATCACGAATTTATTACATTTTAAGGTGGCTCGATATAGTTATCACAAAAACTCTGCTCAAGAATCGCGAACTCAAAACCGGGTGACCATTTTTACGCGCACAAGTCGCGCAGGTCGCGGAAACTGATTAACAAAATGAAAGAACTTCCAAAATGACCTGACGTGAGCAGTTGCTCGCGCCATTGCGCGTGTTCTATAGCGTTTTATGTCAATTGCTGACGTCATTAGAATTTTCCATTTGAGAAAAACAATGCGCTATATCTCTTTATTTTGTCTGGTGACCTATGTTCAAATTTTGCATGCTGTATTGCACCGCTAAAAACTTTCATTATACAAAAAATAAAAAAATTCTGTAATGCCAAAAAAAATTTACCGAAGAATATGACATTTTCGCATTTTCCAAAAAAATGGCATTACAGAATTTTTTTATATTTTGCTAATTGTTAGCTTTTCGTCCAAGTAAAATAATGCACGAAAAAAAATTGGGGGTCACCATGCTTTTTTTCCAACTATACGAGACGATAGGTCATTTTGGAGTGAATTTCGTACACGTATGTCGTCATAGCAACGAACTATCTGTTACTAAAACTAATATAGTTTGAAAGTAAAGTTATCAAAATATATAAAAAACCCAATATCTGCTGAATAAATCCTAAAAATGCGTAGTTTGAACATGTCAAAGTGTTAAACACCTGAATTTTTGAAAACTGTATCGAGCCACCTTAAAGCAAGTAATTGTAATTGGAATTAATTCCTTTTTCAGTGGTAATTTTGCAGCCCTGCCGACCACCATGTTGTTGTACCACATATTAGAATCTCGTGTTACTTTCTTGGGACGTACATAGCTTGAGTTTTGCTTGTGTTAGTAGATACTGCTTGCTGCATCTCAGTGTTGCCAGATAGATTTTGGTCATGTTCAAAAGTTCAGAAATTGATGGAAAAAACAGGTTCTACCATGCATAATGCCTAAATCATAGCTGCCTGCATCAAAAGGTGACAGAAGAATGAGAAGAGGCCCTTGCTTCATGGAATTATAAAAATATATAATTATCTTAGGATAAATTGCAATTAGTTTTTTTAGAATGTGACAAATGCACTCTTCTCTGACTCCTCCCTTGTCATAATAACCAAAAATCTCTGAGTCACGCACCCTGATGGCCATACTTTAGTATTTTACTCTGTCTAATGCTAGACGATTTTGTCCATGCATCCTCTTAACCAATTTTTCCTCAATTTCAAATATTAACCCATTGAGCGCCAACATTCTCCTCTTGATGAGTAAAATTGTCTGGTGTTAGGGTGTATTAGGGTGCAATGCAACTTAATGGCTTAAAATGACAATTAAACAATGGAATGTGCAGGGCCTTGGTCGAATAAAGTATTATAATTGCACGCTGATGGCATCAGCAGCTGAAATAATGAGACGGCCGCAAGATACCAAGAATTATCAGACGCGTTTTGACCAATCACGAATGAGAATAGACTTTGAATGTATGATAATATTATTTAACAGACCAGGCTGATTAAAAGTTTCAGATTCTTGTTTTATATAACAAAGTGACTACATGACCGGCAGCCGGCTATCTAGTAAACTGACGGCTATATAGTGACTATAATTAAAGTTGAATTTTTATAAGATAAACGGTTCCCTAACCCCAAACCCTCCTCTAACCCCTAAGCCCTAACCCCTAACCTAACCTTTTGAGAGTTAAAAAGGCGGAGAAGAAAAAAATATGCTAAGTCAGACGTTAAAAATACAACCCGACCCCGGCTGGGTTTCAATTTCCGCACGCAACGCCTTAGCCGTATGCACAAAGGGCAAGCTCAGTAAAACTAGTGCAAACAAATGTTTTTATATGTAACTATAGTCATTATATAGCCGGCAGTTTACTAGATAGCCGGCTGCCGGCCATCTAGTCACTTTGTTTATATAATTGGCATTTAATACACAATTGTATTACACATGTTGGCAAATCGACACAGGATGTTGGCAAACTGACATTTTGCAAAACGACTTGATGGCAAAACGACCGCAATTCGTTATATTATGGTTGTTAATGACCAAAACATGTTTATTGTCTTAATAATACCTGATTTTCTTCATCTATTCTCCTTTGGAAATTTTTCCTGTTCACTTCTGACGATGTTTTAATACGAACAGGTTCATGGACAGTGTTTTTTAACTTTCTATCTCTTGTAGAAACTGCAGAACGTGGTCTAGGACGACCTATCTCTCTCAAAAGTCTCTGGTTTTCAACGTCAATGGCAAGTACCTGTTCATTACGAAACGAAAAATTCTGTCTAGCTTCACGCCTTCTTGGCGTTTCCTGTGTTGATTTGAACGGTCTCCTTGATGATTTTGACGTACACACACTGTCACAATCCTCTGTATATTTTCTAGCATAAGAACTCGTATCTTCTTCTTGAGATCTTAACTTGTCATTTATGTCAAGCACAGCATCGAGTAATAAATTCAAGTCAATTTGATCTGAATCAGGTTTTAGGAAATGTTCGCGTTGAAGACGATCGCCTGTTTCTTTTTCTTGTCTGTTGGCACATTCATTACCATGTAATTCAGCATTATTTTCATCGCTATCTCGAGAAGTACGCCTGTCTTTTATTTCTCGAATGGAATCCATTTTGAATCTCTGATTATCTTCCAAAATACTATTGTTGCTATGGTGATGAGAAACTATTCACTTAAGGTGGCTCTTTACAGTTCTAAATTAGCTCTCATTAGAGACCTTTCGATTTTAGGACGGCAACGCGACGACGACGGCCAAAACAAACTTCTTCAAATAAATGGTAGCAAATATAATTCGTCGTATATTATCAATCGTGTGAATTTAATACAGTCTTAGAAGTTGAAGACATGGGTTTTATGTTTGGGAAGAGTTCTGCTGAAACCAGTGTGAAGGTGCACTTGTTGCGGCTTGAAATGCAGCCGTTGTATCAGGACGTGAAAATATGTGATTTGGCGTTGTAAACAGAGCGAGGACAATGTCTAAATTATTCATGTATTGTAATTATTCAATTCTTTTCAATGGTTTATTGTATTGGTAGCCGTTGTCGTCACGTTGCCGTCCTAAAACCGTAAGGTCTCTAATAGGAACGAGGTGACGGGACTTCCATATTGAACGTCAGACGATTTCACTGAGACACAGGGCCGCCGAGAGGGGGGGGGGGCAGGGGGGCAAATTGCCCCGGGCCCCGAGTTGCTGGAGGCCCCTGAAAAATTTTTGTTGGGCCCCAGTCTTTTTTGTGTGTTAAATATTTCCGCGCAAAGGACAAGATATCTGTTTTCTTGGGCTAAGTACCGAATTTTGGCATAAAAAAATGAGATAAAGTGGGGACGTTGTTGTCCGGAAAAAAACTTTTTCCGGGAAAAATTTTTTAGATAAGGGCCCCTTAAAAAAGCGATGATTTTTGTACGCGATGATTTTTGTACAAATATACAAATATAAACAGTAATAATGGCGGACACCAAAGGACTTACACACTTTGGATTCTTCCAAAGATCGGTTAAACAAACGAAATAACAAGAATCATCGCCCAAACGTCGGTCAAGTTGTACAACAAAAGCCGCCGTTTTTTATTACTTCCTGTCCTTCGATTAGCAAGAAATCTCGGCCACATATCAGAAAAAAAACAGCGATTATCTGAAAATAAAAATTGGATATGCTTGTATAGAAATTTTTTGAGAAAAAGGACAAAATGTCAAAAGGTAATTTTCACTCACTCAATAGGAAATAGTATGGGCGCCATTGGACGAAGACAAGTGTAAGGAAATGATAGTTGACTTTAAGAAAGTGAAACATCAGTTTAAGACTATCATCATCAATTCCAAAGAACTCGAGCTAGTCAGCAGTGCCAAGATATTGGGTGTCATGGTGTCTAACTCACTGGAATGGATTGACCATGTCAACTATGTCGTGAAGAAAGCTAACAAACGTTTGTATTTCCTAATTTTGCT